CCGCTGTCGGCCAGAATTGCCATTTTTACTGAAGCTGTATAAATTTACGATTTTAACCATTTTTATCGGCCGTTTTGGACTTACGAGAATGAATGAAAAAACTTTAATACTTCTCATATTGTTGTGTGACATATTTCGAACACTTTTCATTTGAAACTTTTTTTGGAAAAATGCCGCTGTCGGCCAGAAATGCAATTTTTTGGGTAGGTGCTTAAATTTACGATTCTGACGATTTTTCTCGGCCGATTTCGCCTAACGAGAATGATTGAAAAACTCGCAATACTACTTATATTGTAGTGTTTCCTATTTTGAACATTTTTTACTTCAAATATTTTTTGAAAAATGCCGTTTTTGCCAAGATCCAGAAGATGCCCGGATAGGCCCGGTCCTTGAAAAGCATAAATTAATATACAGACAAATCTTCTCTGCCATCTGGCCGTCTAACAAATTTTATGACCTCGAATCCGGTTTAACGGCCATTTGAACCAGTCTTCCTTAAAACCTATTCTTAGCTAGGGATAACTTTGGATTAAGGTTAACCCTAACTACAGACAGCTTTGCACGGCAGTCTGCTTTACTAAAAGTGACAAATTGGCTTTTGCTCCCGCCTTTTCTTTCCAAAATCACCTTTATCTTAGAACTGAATGCGAGGTTGCCGCTACTATTTACGTCTCAAATATAATTCATTCATAATATATTATTAAAGATAGAGTTATTTGAAAATTAAAAAAAGGGAATAACCTTAGACTCCCAGTTGGAAGCGAACAATGCTATGTTTTTTTGCTCTTTTAAGCACTCCCAGAGCTGGTGGTCTGTCGCTCTGGTATGTATGGGACTCCAGCTAAGCTGTTTACCCACTAAAACCCTTTCTTCACCGCCGAGGTGGTGTTTGGCCTCGCACAGCGGTCATTTCTGTCCTATTGTGCCCTCGTACTTTTACTCCCTCATTATCCCTGTATATTCAATGAATTCCAGAAGAGTCTTGAGGGGAGTTGGCATGATCTGGTCTGGTGGAATTTCATCCCCTCCCAGGAGTCTTCGTCTACCTGTTGCATATGACGTGCAGTGACACATAACATGCAGAGTAGTT